GATTTTGACTTTCTTATAGAAAGCTTAAAGTCTTGGAGTCATGTGAATGTCAGCAAATCTCAGCTTCCACTAAAAGAAAAAACAAACCAAAAAAAACCCCAAAAACCCCCCAAAAACAAAACAAAACAAAACAACCCAAAAAAATCAACACCCAAACCAAAACAAAAAAAACCCAACCCAATGTATGTGAAACCTTAAAAATGCTGAGAAGCTTGAATGGAAAACCCTTATGCTAGAGAAAGAAAGGCAATTGAAGACCTGCAGAAATGTTATGTATGTATATATGTCTGTAGTTGTATATGCATCTATCTAAACCTCCTGGATTTGAAAGATTGAGGTTAGAAGCAGTGTGGCATTGTACTCCTCCAAAATGATGGTTTGGTTCTAGTTAATTGGTTAATTGCACAATTTCAGGATTCATCCATTCCTGTCGTAGCACTTCTGTACTTTTAATTTTTTAAGTACAGAACCAGTTACATGGGGAAGAGATGGCTGCAGCACTCAGAGGAGAGGCTGTTTTACTCTGCATCTTGCTGTATTTGTTTCATGATTCTTCTGATGGATATAAAATACATCTAAACCACAGAGAGTGCACTGGGTGATGTGGCATTGCTGAGCTCAGTTAAATAATGAGATGTGTTTCATTCAAATCAGAATGACTCTAAGCCCTGAATACTAAATAGGGCAGCAAAAAGCCTTCAAGCACACAAAATAAATGAGTAAAAAACCCAAATGAAATTGTCTAATAAATACAATGTGGAGCAACAGGCTGCATGTACTGGAGGAATTAAGGCAATTTGAAGCGTATGGGCAGTGCTGCATCTCAGATGTGCAGCTCCAAGGGCAGCTGGATGCACACATCACAGGGCAGGCTCTGGCTCAGAGCACACATTTGATAGCACAGGTTTATGACCTCGTAATCCTAGAGCATCTAAAACAGTAAGGATTCCATCCAGCTTAAAATAGCTGCTGTAGTTGCTGTTGATACAGGCTCGAGGGCTCCCCAGCTCTGGGGCCAGATTTGGTGCTGGCATGATGGGAGGAAGTCTGTTGACAGCTGATAGCAGTGGAGTTGCACTTGATTACATCACAAGAAATTTGGCACGTGGAGCTGAATCAGAAGTCTGAGCAGAAATGTCCATTCCTCATCCAGAGTTAAAACTGGGACTTCCACATTGCCAATGCACAGAGATTTGTCTGGCCCAGATGCAGCTGTTGCTTTTCAGGGTCTTGCTTTACAAGTGCATTCCCCCAGTTCCATTCAGCATGGTGACTGAAAAAAAAAGGAGGACTGGATTTTGCTGTCATGCCCAAAGGGATGAAGTCCCCAATCTTCCCAATGCCAGCACGGTGAGCTGATGGCCTGGGCTGCATCTGGGTCACAGCAGAGGGTGAGCCCACAAAGGGGCCTGAGCTCCAATTGCTGGCCTTGTGCAGTGGCCAAGCACTCCCTGTGTCCAGCACACAGCCCTGGGTGCTGTCCTTCACAGCTGCTGCAGCTACATCCCATCCCCTCCTCCCTTCCTGGTGCCTTACACTGTAAGGCTTGGAGTGCAGCTCTTACTGATGCTCCAAAGCCACTCCTCAAAGTAGCTCAAGAAATTAGATTATGTTTTGTTAATTTCTGCTGCTGCAAAAATTGTCCCAATACTGTGTTCTTTCTTTTTATTAAAATACTAAGTTGCTGAAGTGATTTCCATGAAAATTAATTAAAACAAATTAATGAGAAGCAGCTGACAAATGGACTCCTCTCCTGAAACTGTGGTATGCAAACTCTTAACCTCAATCACATATTTGTGGTTGCTCTATAAACACCTAAGTGTATAGCAGTGATTTGTCATAGTATTTTTTGATGGAAAGTCTTAGAAAGTGAGGGTATACTAGATAATACATTTTCTCTTAGTTTAATACAGCTTGTTATAATGCATGTGCTTACCTGCTCCATTTAGTGGCATTACTAATCTGCAGTTAAATCTCTGCTTTTTAGTAGTGGGAAAGAAATGAAAAAGATGCTGTCGGGCTCAGGGTTTCTCCATGATGTTTTCTGCTTGTGGGGGACAGGAGGGCAGGAGTCCCTTTATTAGGGGACTAATACCAGCCTGGGGCATGGGTTGTGCCCTGCAGAAAGCAGAGGTGAGGAGGAGCTGTGCTCTCTAAAAACAGGATCCATCTGGGATCTTTGGATCATCTGGAGGTGTGGTGGGTAGGTTCTGCCAATGGCTCTGGCAGGTGTGCAAAATGTCTGTGCTTACAGCTGTGTACAGAAAGCAGAGCTTGGCCCCTGCTGGGCAGTAAATATAACATTGGCATTCTAGAACATGTCAGTGTTTTAGTTCCCCATGTATATTTCTTATTGTCTTATTTGTATTTTATGTTCACTTTTCACTCAAAGATGTGGCAGAGGTTTGTCTGCTTTCTCTTATTTTCTCTGAGAATATAATGGAGGTCATGTTATTAAAGATAGAATGTTGTGCACGTTAGAGGGACAGGTATGGCAAGGTTCAGTGGGCCTTGTAAAGAATTCCTTACATAACTTTCCACCTTGAAAAGGTCCACTCAGTCTCCTTGGAAAATTGTCAGCAAGCTCTGCCAGCGGGCTGCTCCCTGGAAAGAGGAACCAAAAGCTTTCACTACTGTCCTTCACTTGGAAAATGAGCTGACTGCTTTCTCCAGTGTGTCTCACCCAAGCAGAGCCTCCAGCCCTTTGGGACAGGAGAGCTCAGTGGAGGCAGTTGGCTTGAAGAGATTTTATTTACTATGCTCCCCCTTGGGACTGATGTGAAAAAATCCCACGTTTTCTGCCCAGGAAGCTTTGTGTGTAGTCCTCCATGAGCTAAACATTTCAGAGCAGAAGGACCTCCACAGGGAAGTTTTCTACCCGCTGACATTTGCCCATAACCATTTTGAACCAAAAAAAAAATAAAAAATCAAAGAGGTTAATGAAACCAAGAAACCAACAGTGATTTTCTCCAAGGAGTGCTAGCAGTTTCAACAATTGCCATTAATGTGCAAGCAGTTCCCGAGATTGTACATGCTAGACCAACTTCATCCTTGCTATAACTCCTCAGAACTCAGTGGAGTTGCATCAGGGATTAATTTGGTCCATTGCTTTCAGCCATCAGTTTTAGAGAATATACAACAATCGAGGGAACTGTTATTGTCAGCATCAGTTTATGACTCTAGAGCTGCTCAGTATTTGTCTGTTACAGATACATAAGCAGGGTGAGTGTATGGAGTGGAGTTATGAGTTCAGTGTTGAAGGCAGTGGATTTTTCAGAGTTATTTTTGTACCATTAAAAGTAATAAACATTCTGGCAAATGTTTGTTTGTTATTGCTTTATTATTGCTGTGAGTCTTACATAGATGCTTGAATACAGCCACACATCCTTGAACCATGCACAGAAACATTTCATATGGCAGACCACAAAACATTTCATGGAACACAGAAAATATTTGTAAATTTCTAAGCCTGTTATCACACCAACTGACTGATGATCACAGTGTTCATATGAATTTAGCTACACTTAATTCATATGAATTAGCACCAAGGAAGTAAAGCTGACTTATGAGGTTGCCGTGAGGGCAGAGACAAAACAGAAGACCTTTAGAGTAGTTCTCTGTTTTCTTAGACACCAAATTGTCTCTGTGATTTTCAAAATAAACTGAGGAAAGCATCAGCTGGTAAATCTGAATTGTTGGATGGTGAATCTTGCATCTGCACATCAGTCAGATATTTCAGTACATGTCAGAAGCTGTGGACAACTGCCTGAATCTTTAGGCCATGTGTAAGATTGTTGGATTAAGTTATTTAAGTGTAAACTCTGATTGGAACAGATGAGCTAACAACCAGTTCTGGTTGGAAATTGAGTGGCCAAAGCAACATTACTGCCTGGTCATGGCTAAGACAGTGAGCCCCTTTCCTGGTTTGGTAGATCAGCTTTGCACTGACTGTTCACAAAGCAAGGTACAAACTTGGAGCTCTTCCGCAGCACAGGATGGTGTGTTGGCTTGTTGGGATTCCTTGCCCTCTGTTAGGGAGGCATGTTTGGGCACTGAAGGGAGGGGTTTGTCTTTGCAACCTATTAAAGTTTGGGTCACCCAGAGGAATGAACGAAGTTGCTCTGGCCTGTACTGGGTACCCAACAAGTGACAGACTTCCCTTTACACCACTTCTCTGGGTCTTTCTGGTCTTTTCTTCTCAAGAACATTGATTTTTGCAGAATTTGGGGACTTTGGCTAAGTAAGACCTTGTCCATATTTAGTGACAACATCTCCAAACTGTGAGATCTTGGATTACTTCTGCATTTCTATGTCCAAGTTCTTTTCCAACCTGCATCGACTGCACACTAAGGCAACCCTTTTCTGAGGGTTCATCATCCTACACTGTGTCTTGCTGCTGTGATTTCTGCTGAGGAAAGGCCAAGAGCACAGGCCAGAAGCATCCTGCAGCCTGCTCCAGCTGGACAGTGCAGACCCATCAGCACCCTGGGCAGCAGAATGTGCTGTGTGCGGCACCTTCAGTCTGGGGTGGTTCCTCAGCCTGGTTCCTCCTGGGTTGCTGGGTGCACAGCCACAGCAGCTCTTCCCAAGGAGCTAAACTTGAAGCATCTCTGGAGCCACGGTGACATACTGAGAGCAATAACCATCTCCCTCAGCTGAAATGATTCATTAGTGTTAAAATGTCAGAACCATTAACATGCAAGCGAGCCTTTTAAAAATTTGAGGACAATGGGCCATGTCCTGGAAAAGATTTGAGGTAATTGTGTTAGTTCCAGCACCATTATCCATGAAAGATGTACTCATACAAGTAAAGGTTTGTTGGCTGGGCCTCCCATTTTTGTTAGCTTTACTTTATTGCTGTAATTACACCCAGTGGCTTATCTAATAGAGTCATGTTCTTATAAAGAAATTAAGACAATTAATGCTACTTTTGGTGAGAGTGAAATAGTAAGTAAAATTAAATTGAAATTTGACCAAGCTTTTCTCTTTTTATTTCCTAGTGTCTGAATTACAGGAAGAAGGAATAAATGCCATTAACTTACCTCTCAGTCCCATTCCATTCGAACTAGACCCTGAGGACACTATGCTAGGTAATTCACAAAAATTTTACATCTCAACTCGAAAACTTGCTGTAAAATGAAGTGTTGTGCCTGGGAGGATAGTTTCTAATGTTTTTCTTTTAAACCTTCCAGAGGAAAATGAAGTCCGAACAATGGTGGATCCAAATTCAAGAAATGATCCAAAATTGCAAGAACTAATGAAGGTAATGAAAGCTTGTAAACCCTGTCAGGAAGTGGAGCTATTTTTTCATGCCACCCCTGCCTCTTTCACTTGAGCACTTGGAAGCCCTAGTTAGATATTAATTAGTTGGAACCCCATGGTGCATACATCCCAGTGAAATGGGGAGGTCATTTGTGGCAGTATCTTTCTCTAGATGTGGCACAGGGAGACTTTAAAATTTCTATTAAAATCCTGAGGCCAGAGTCTCAGTCCCATCCCATCCCCAGTTGAAGATCATGCTGATCTTCCCTCGTCTTTGTGATTCTTGGAGGTAGAATTTTGCAGGATGCTTTATTAAAATCAACTTCAGCACCTTTAACACAATAAGATGTTAAAATGCTACTGAAAGCAAGGGAAAGGTTTCAGTCCAGAAGATACTGCATCAATTAGTGTTTGTCTAGACCTTGTGGTGCATTGGCACAGCCACCTCAGGTGAGTCCTTCCTGAGTCTTTCCTGTTTGCTCCCGAAGGTATGTCAGACTATTTTGAGCCACTGCAGCTTTGGTATTCTTTCTGCTAAGAAAAATGACATGTGGTTTAAATTGCAAATGAATAGTGTATAATACTGCCAAATTTGTGTTTCCCACATAGGTATTAATTGACTGGATTAATGATGTGTTGGTAGGAGAGAGGATTATTGTGAAAGACTTGGCTGAAGACCTGTATGATGGACAAGTACTGCAGAAATTATTTGGTAAGAAAAAATACACGTGCACGGCGTTAAAGCACTTTGTCAAGAAGTGGATCTCTTGTTCCTGCCCAGGAGCCTCAGTATCATCTTACATTTATGCCACTAAGTGATACAAAAATAGCATTGTGTTATGAGACCCCTGAGCCTTGGGCTGTATGTGCAGCCCTCATGGCTGCAGTGCAATGTGTGGTGCTCTGCAGCTGCTGAGAACAGCACAAAGCCTACCTGGGGTGCTGCAGAGGGAGGGCTCTTGTCTTGGCAGCAGTATTCACTCCAATTAAATTTATAACCTGCATATGGGCTGCACAAACTTTGCCATGTTACAAGTGGAAAGTAAGTTTGAAGGCAAGGGCAGTCTCAGTGCCATGGTGGATGTTTTTAATCTCTGCTCCTTCCATGCTATAGTTTCTTCATTGCAAGGTTCCTCTGGAAAGTTGGAATTTCTTTCTGGTTTGATGTCTGGCTTTTAACATGACTGAGGTAATGGTGCCCAGTGGACTGCAATCTGAGCTTCAGCTGAGAAACAGATAGAGAAAAGAAACTGCTAATGCACAGTTGGCATGTGCTTTTTACACTGTTGGCTTGAAAGCCATTTTCTTAGTTATTACAGCTCATAAAGTCTCCAGTAAATTTCTTTCCAGTATCCTAAATGAATCTTGAAACATCATGTGAGCACTTCTAATAAAGACTTCACAGACTATTCCCTTCTATGAATGGTTAAGCTGTTGAATATATTGTGATGGACTGGATGTGCCCAGACTGAGCAATTGGATTGTCATGGGCAGATCTCCAGTGACTTCACCCAAAATTCAAAAAATGTGTATCAGGTGCAGCCTGACTCTAAATATGCATACACTGATCTATCATTTATTGATTTCAGAGGAATCTTTTCCATTACCCTTAATTCCTAATTGTGGATCAGGTCTCTGCTTACTAAATCTTCAGTCTTGTGGTGAGACTATGCACAAACTGATTTCTGAGGAAGTGCAAGAAACCTATGGAGATAGCAGCTCTTAGGCAGGATTAGGAGATAGCAGCTCTTAGGCAGGATAAGGAGACATCAGTTTTTAGGCAGGATAAGGAGACATCAGTTTTTAGGCAGGATTAGGAGACATCAGTTTTTAGGCAGGATTAGGAGATAGCAGTTTTTAGGCAGGATTAGGAGATAGCAGTCTCTTAGGCTGGTGGTTTAGGCTCACTCACTTTGGAAAGATACTCAGTTGGCTTTGATGGGAACAAGATCAGCTCCTACCAAATAAGATAAATCTTAACCAAATACTCTTTTGTAGAAGTAGATTGATAAGTGACCAAGCATTTTGTTTCTGGTGTTGTCACCAGGGAGCTGCTATATTTTCTTTGCTTATTCTTTAAGGGTTAACAATAAATCACATATGTATATACATAGCAACTGTACTAATTGTAACAAACCAATTCATAAAGTACTTTAAAATATTCTGCAAATTTTGAGTGCAGAAAATGGCTGTGGTTTCATGGAGAGAAATTTGCCTGAGGTTTTAGTTGTTTTCATGAAAACTTGTTTGCCTTTCTTTGATGCATCCTCTGCCTCTATGAATACAGAATCACTTCAGTTTTATTGCTTCTAGGCCAAGTAAAATTTTTATCTCCTGCATCTGAGGTAGAAGCTGGGAGGCTGAGACTGGTGAAATAAAGTTGGTGTCTGTTTCCTAGGTTTGATGGTCTGCTGTACAAGCCACTTGCAGGCAGAATGACCTTCAAGCAGAAGGAATAGAAGTAAAGGGCCTTATCTCTAGGTCTAGTGCTCCCTAAAAGGAGTTGCAGCAAATGTTTCTTAGCCAGTGGTGTGGCATAGAGCAATACTTGGCCTTCTCCTTGTCAGTGTGCAGCTAAAGGCAAAATGTGAACTTATCTTTAGGAGCTCAGAAGTGTAGAGGAAAAGTGGCTCTGGAAAAAAACTTAGATACAAAATTAGGAAGTCTGATGTCTCCTGAATGTTCCTCTAGGTGTATGGAATGTCTTTGTGTTCTTCATGGAGCTGACAATTTTTTTTCTCCGTTCTTTCTTCTATCACTTCAGAGAAGCTTGAAAGTGAGAAGCTGAATGTTGCAGAAGTTACTCAGTCTGAAATTGCTCAGAAACAGAAGCTACAGACAGTGCTTGAAAAGATCAATGAAACCCTTAAACTCCCTCCAAGAAGCATTAAGTGGAATGTTGACTGTAAGTTTTGTGTTTGCTGTACTGCTCTCATTTGTTGACAGCTGGGAGGTCGTAGGTGCCATCTGGAGTTCTGAAATATCCAATGGCAAGGGAGGGCTGAAACCTGGGATTTATGGCAGGAACTGCTCTGAAGGGCACTTCCAGATGTGCCAGTCTGTCCTCTTTACTGGTGCTCAGCCTTCTGTTCCAGTTAGGTGTCTTCTCAGAGCCAGTCCAAGTGTGGTGGCTTTGCTCTGAAGTGCGTGTGCATACCAGCTTAAGTTTTGTATTGCTAAATTGATCTGTTGAAACAGGCAAGTGCCTGCAGAAATGCAGTAGATGGACATAAGGACAATTAGGTCCCAGAACTCTGTGTGAAATTTGTGACATAGATATGAGTGATATTTCTGATCATTTCAGGCAAAGTCTGAACCACTAGTTTTGGTTACAAAACTCTAATCAAGACTATTTCTGTGCCTTTCCTAGTCTATTGTATTAAAAATGAACATAGCAGTGTCTAATAGAAATGTCTTCAGTGGCCCAACACAAGACACTTCAGTGGATGTGTATTCCAGAAAGCAGGTTATCAGCTTTAGAAAATTAGGCCTCTTAATCTGTTTTAAGTTTGGTTTTCAGAATCATTTCATGCTGGTGAATACCTTGACCAGTACATCACATTTTCCCTGTCTCCTGTACCTGTCTTGTGCTGAACAGTTTTGTATCCTGTTCCATTCACAACAAATTAGTTAGAAGGAGAGAAGTATCTCGAGGGAAGAAGAGTGAGCATTTGGCCATTTGACTTTCCCCTGTCTGTGGTCCTGCTGAACTTTTTGTCCCCTTTTTTTTTTCAACCTGCCCTGAGTTTTCTTTCCATTCTCTATTACGCAGCTGGAGGCGGGGTGTTTGGAGTGGCCTGACAATTAAACTCCTAGTTTTAATTTAATGTTTTACATGTGTTTTAGAGCTAGAACAGAGATAGAGAGCAGCAGCTGTGTCCAGCTGTAGCACACACTGGTGGTAGGCAGACAGACATCTTTGTAGTGTTCTGCTAAAGCACCTCATCCCTGACCACGGGCACTCCAGCAGCATTTGCCAGCAATGCCACATTTTATATCAATGTTTATCTGCATGGCATAGCTGAGACTTGCACTGTAAGATTATGAAGAAGGGTATTTTAGTGAATCTGATCGTGTTTCAGCCGTGCAGTAAGGTAGTACTTAACGATTAGTTCAAGTACAAAAAATCTAAGTGCACAGCAGTGTCAAAGATCTTTTAGCAATACTACTTTGGGGAATGCAAAAACAAAATAGAAGAAGAAGAAGAAAGGCAATAATAAGGATTGGAAATTATCCACATGCATGCCAATGGTTTGATGCTTGATCAAGGATTTCCTACAGTTTGGCTTTTGATGTCTTGTAAGTTGTGTTAGTGTTAACTACCCATATATGAAACCTGCTGCAAAAGAGCTTCAATAACAGAACTAGAGCAACTTCATGAGGAATGTTTGAGTCATTGAGTTTAATAAGTTATTGCTTAAGGCTTGTGCCAAAACAGGCTCATTTATCATCCTGCAGACATTGTGACACTTAAAAATGAATAAGTGCATGTTATTTGTACAAAAATATCTTTCTGATAGTCCATAAATCCTTATTGAAGTAAAGGGAATAAAAGAGAGGCAAGGAGAATGCAGAGACAGCACTTAAACTGTTGTACATAAAATCTGGCTTTTGGATTAGCTTTAGATTTCCATCTCCACGAGCCTGTGGCACTCAGACATGTTGCAAAGAGTAGTGCCTTGGTGCTGATGGGGTGCCTTAAAGGTGCCCCCTGGCTCCAGATGGCCAGAGGAAAAGAGTCCCATAATGCCTGTATCCTAAGCAGAAGTAAAAATCTGTACCCTAGTTACTTTGCAGTTTGTAACTTGTGCTTTTAATGTCTATTTCAGCTGTTCATGCTAAAAGTCTCGTAGCCATACTTCATCTTCTGGTTGCATTATCTCAGTATTTTCGAGCACCAATCCGACTCCCTGACCATGTGTCCATCCAGGTGGTTGTTGTGCAGGTAAGAGGGGCCTTAAGCAGCTCTTGGTAGTGTTGTGAAGTTGACTGAGGGGTTTCTTGAAAAACGCACCTGGAGTTTCTGGCTGGGCGGGCACGTGTGTGTCTCCTTGGCTGACAAGGAGCACACGTGCATCTTCCCTGCTGCCTGTGCTTCAAGCAGGAAAAGGCATGAGAAGAGAAAAATCTGCTTTCCCAGATTGAGCTGTGGCTCACAGTGTCTTACTTTGACTGTGAAGTGGCCAGACTGTGACAGTAAAAATATATGAAACATTATTATTGTTGGAATGTGTTTATCACCCAGAATGATCGCTTGAATTATTATTTTCCCCATTTTTTGATGCTCCTCTCACTTGTGTAGAGATTCAAATTATTCTTGGCACTGAATGATGAATTGTCACTGTTTATTACATTCACATTTATGTTAGGTGACTAACTTCTTTTTCAGCTCTGTGCATGCTAATTTAGTCTGATTACAGTGTTGGTTTTCTCAAAAGCATGCAAAAAAATCCCCATCAACTAAATCTTTTGTCAGTCTCCCTATTGGAGCCTCATCCATTCAAATTCATGTTTTTCTGATCATCATTTTTCTTTTAGCTGAACTTGTGCTTTCTTTATCTTATTTGTCCTCTTCCCATTTAATCTGCTTTTCTTTCTCTCAATTAACTTTGCCTTTATTTTTCACACTGCAACTGTCTTTATTTGTGTCTTTTAACTGATGTTACCCTGAAGTAACTGGGTGAAAGAGCTATTGCTCAAGTTTTTTGTGGCTGAAAATCTGCACGACAGATCTGAGAAAGTAAACATTCCCTCTTGTAGAATTCAAATAGGACAAGTTTTGTAACTTAGGGAGAAATCTGAAGGAGAGTCTCTGGTAAATGTGTCACTGGTGTCTGGTAGTGACTCATTGACTCAGATTCTGCTTCATGGGTGTCTCTACAGATGATGAAGGAGAATCCCTGGGAATCTGCACATACATGTCTAAGGCTTTGAAGAAACCTAATTCCTTTGGCTGTTATAAATGTATTATTTATATTGGTTAATCTCGAAGTTCCACCAAAACCAGCTGGAGTACAGTGAGTAGGGCATCTTTATGATGAAAAACTAAATGAGAAAAATAACACAACCCTTAAAGAAAGAATCAGAACCTCTGCTGTCATTCCATACCTCCAGACAAAATTCCAGTTGAAATCAGCGGGCATAATTATCCTCTTGTTAAACAGGCTAATGTAGTTCAAGAGCAAATCCACTGAAGTCAGTACAGATAAACCAATTTAAAACAATAAGTAGTGGGAGAATCTGGCTCACTCTTAGTTACACAGCTGCAGCTCAGGCGCCAGTGGTTTGCAGTGGAAGCAGTTCCACCAGAATAATATCCAAGTCGTGTTGAAGGAGATTTTGTCCTGCAGACCCTGACCTTGGTGAAAGCCAGTGAACTCCAGAGCTCTGCTGATTCCTATTAACAGAGGGTGGGGGCCAGTATATTTACTGTAATTGTAATTACTGTAAATGTTTGAGACATTTCTCTTTTTTGTTTAATGGTGGGTGAGGGTTTTATTTTTATTTTTTTAAATCTGTCTTTCACATCCTGTGGGACTGATTCTATATCATGCATCGTGTACTCTTTGAACTCACAAAAGTTTTAATCGACCATCAGCAGATCCTAATGGCTGATTTAGTGGTCAGGCTTGCACACCTCATGTTCTGAACACTCATGCATTCTGTACAGTAAGATCAAGCCTAGGGAAGCTTAACAGACTATGCAGTAGCTGTTTTAAAATTCTGCTGTGCATTGTTTAATAAAGAGAACAGGAGAGACAGAAATAAAGGAACAAAGTAGTTTTATGAAGTCTTTTAAGAAAGACTCCCTTAATTCATTTCATGATTTTGTTAGGCATAGAAACACATAAAACGTGAGGGTTGCTGTGTTGGCTGGATGTAGTTTATTGAAATAGAAAAAGCATATTTGTGAAACAAAAAATGTGCTCATGTCTAACAGGTAATCAGCCTAGTTCTTATGAAAGCTTATTTCCTTTGGCTCTTTTGTACAAAAGCTGTTAGCAATGAGAGTGATATGAAATCTGGGTTTAAGCTGATTGAGGAAAAAATGTGATAGGTGGACCTTTTGTAGCTACTCTATTATTTTCTTTTCCTGCCATAACAGTAGAATAAATAACTTTGAACAAAGCCCAGGCTTTGTTTGATCATATCTACTGAAATGACTGAGAGCTTTTTTGGAGAGCTGGGTCTTGTCATCATTTTGCCTCTTCTTAAAAATTATGTATTTCTACCATCCACGGATGGTTAGATGACAGATTGTTTGTGTCCAAGAGATGGAAGTCTGAGAGTGTAAGAATGCATTGGCAGAGGAGCCAGAATGGCTTCAGCATGTCCTGGGACAGCAGTTCTGGGGTGCAAGAACTACTCTTAGGCAGGGCTAGGGAATTATTGAGATGAGAGGAGTGTGTAAATCACAGCCTTAATCAGGAATCCTTGGTACCACTACCTGGGAAGGCCTGAAAGGGTTTGGAGCAGCACTGCCTCCAGGTTCCAGTGAGGTTTTCTCTGGACCCCTGACAAATGTATTTGTTCTTTCAAGCTCCGGAATGATTCTGCATTTCACTTTGGCGGGGCAGTTATAAAACATGGTCCTCCAGGTGAAATGAGTTGTAACAAGACATAGGCAAAAAGCCATCCAAATAATGGCAAGATTTTCAGACTGGGGCTTTGTGGGGGAAATTAAGCAGCTGGCCCTCAGTTACATAAAAATGCTGACACAAAAGGAGATAAGAAGAGATCTTTTCTATTTCCAGATGTACTACCCCAGCTTCAGATTATTTTTTTTTTTGTCCTAGGGAGTTGCCAATTTTAAATGGTAAGTGATTAGGAATATCTTCAGGGCCTTCTGAAGTCTTTCAGCTGTGAGGGAAGAAAATGCCAAGCCTGTTCATTAAGGTCTTCTGTTATCATTGGAATGCATCTCCAGCTTTTCTTTTTGATGGGGAATTTTAATTCATGCCTCTTTTCTCAGGGACTTTCAAATAATTGATTTTTATAGTTTGCTATAAAAATTTTGCCAATTTTAGCCACTGTTGCCTTTAAGGAACATGCTGGATAGTCTTTTCAGTCCTCAGCAGCACCTCTCTGTGTTCTCAGGAATATTGTGTCATTCTCTGTCTAGTATAAGACAAACCTCACAATAGGTGATGTCAGTGTTGGGGTCAATTTTGAGTGAAGAGTTTTTAAAGAGCAAGAGATTATGAGAAGCAGCCTTCAGAGAAGGTGCTTAGACCAGTGTTTTAAGGTCCATTCCATTGGGAATTCACCAGTCTTTTTACAAATCAAAAGTATAGGAAAATCTGTCTTGACGTGTGCTGGTCAAATGAGTGTCCAGGGGATGCACCTTGCATTTGGGCATTGTGGAAATCCCATCAGTGTTAGGGGTCAAGTGCCAGACATAAAACAAGGGCTTGGGATCATTTTGCTTTGGGGTTTTTTTTGTTTTTGTTATTGTCAGCAACAAGATAAGGGTGCAGATTTTTTTATTTTAATATATTATCTGCATTTTATCAGAAAAGGAGATATTTTTGATATCAGTGCTGGAGTATATTTCAGGCAGTTTTTGTGTGCTTGCAGAGAGAAGGTGTAGAGCATTAGAAACCTTTTTCTGTTCCCATATTCCCAGTCTGATCACTGAAAACTACAGATAGCATTGCTGTGGTGCTCAGCCCCTGTGGGAGATGAGAGCAGCAGGCTTCTTGCTGCATAAGGCATCAATGGCATGTCAGAGTCATCATGAGGAGGAAATAAAAGTTTCCTTTCACCCTGCAGCAAAGGGAAAAATAAACAAAAATACCAAACAGAGTGGAATTCCAAGTTGTGCTAGCATGAACTAGATAGTGACTTGGAGTTTCAGTTAGCACTGGAGACAGCACTCACTGCTGTCTGCACGAGCTGGGAGTGGAGGCAGCCCTAAATTATGTCATTCTTCTTCAGACTTTGATAGGCAATGCCTCCGCAGCTGGTCTGTGCCCCCTCTTCCACAGTGTAGCACCCTGGACTCCCCTCTGTCTTTTAAGTGCTCCAAGGTCCTCTCTGAATGCATTTTTCACCATGTGCAAGATATTTAGAAACTGGACTTTCAAAAATATCATGGAAACCCCCTGAAACTGTCATCTAGCTGCAAGTTCACATTCCTCCAAGTGCCAGTCTGGAGTGACCCAGAGGGCCGTGTTCAGCTTTTCTTGAGAAATAAATATATTTCTCGATATATTTTAGTGATACAGTGTAGAAGGAAAAACATATCAAGAAATGTATTTTAGTAATGGAAGGAATAGACAAGCCTGGCTCAGTCCTCAGCACATCACACACTGAGGACTGCCTCAGGCAGGGATGTGCTGTCTTCTCCAAGGAAGGGAAAAGCAGCAGCCCCAGTTCAGATGCCATGAAGGACTTTTCTAAAAGGTTATTCTCCTTTTCGCTTTTCCACATTGAAGATCAGTATAGGACCAGCATAAATCTATTTTTCTCATTTCCTTGCATGACAGGGAGTGAAGAATCATGAGGAATTGCCTGATGTCTAGACTTGAAATGGAGTTGTCAGCATTTGCCTGACTTTTCTCTGTGTACTGCAAATTTTTGGTAATACCAGCGAACAGGATTGACAGAGAGAACACAAAGAGAGGCAAAACATATGTGTGGTATTTACAGCAGCCCCAGATGAGTGTGATCAGCAAACTGAAACAGTGTCAAACTCTTCAAGTGCTGCATTGTGCAGCTGATTCAAGCAGCAGTGATTGGAGTTGGCTTCTGCCACGTTGGGCACAGCCTCTGGGCAAAGGCTCCTCAGCACCAGCTCCCATCTGAGGAACATCAGAGTCACTGCTGGACCAGGATGGCAGTGTGGATGGAAGCTCCATTTTGGTTTCTGTCAGAAGCCAATAGAGCTGTTTGTCAGCAGAGAAAGGAAACACTGAGGCAAAAAAAACCCCAAAAAACAAACAGTACAAACAGGGCGAAAAGAACAAATAGCCCGGGAGCAGGATTTTTGCAAAAGAGAAGCATGGGCACCATCTGCCAAGCTGTTCATTGAAATACAGGGCTTAATTCAGCTCACCTAGACCTATCTCCACTAAAATACTTACATATGTGTTTGGGTGTTTCAAATGTCTCGCTGAATTGGGGCCGTTAAAAGAGAAGTGAATTAAGAACAATGGAGAAAGGAAAATAAATACTTCCTTCTACAGGTGGAGTTTCAGGTTTCTTGTTAATATATAAAAGAGTTCTCTGAAATACTTGCAAGGTAAAATAATATATTACTGAAAATTTGTGTAAGAAAAGGTCTTATTCTGCAGGTTTCTTATCTAATTATGTTTGTGGATCACAAATTTTTACTGTACTCTAAGCATTAAACTTTAGTGAGAAAAATGTCGCTTTTTTCCTTTTTGCAGAAACGAGAAGGAATCCTCCAGTCTCGACAAATCCAAGAGGAAATAACTGGTAACACTGAGTATGTCAACACCACATTTGCCAGCAGTTCAGTAATTGAACACAGATGTGTCTCAGAAATTCAAACATTTGCTGATATTTAGCTTTCAGTATTGGGGTTCCAGGGAAGATGATGCATCAGCCAGTGACTGTATTTTAGCCTTTTCAAGAGCTGCAAACAAGCATCTAAAAATACAAAAGGGGGAGGAAATAGAGAGGTGGGGAACTAAAAGCAGGACTTTAGGTGTGTAAAATGATGGTAATGAGCCTTGTATGTGCCATCTCACTGAACATTTCATAAAGTTATTCCAAACCAAAAGGGAACAGTAGTAGAATATCCAGGTTTCTAATTGAATGGAGAGAAGCTGCACTACTGACTTATTATTAATCTGTATGAATTTATGTGTGATAGTTATATGAAGGATCAACTGCAGCAAAATCCTGCAGTTCTTAAGAACCCAGCCCAAGCCTTGTTTGGGCTGGATTTCTGTTGTGGTTGGTGTGGTAGATGCATCTTTGAAGCTGAGGGAAAAATTTTCTCAAAATCAACGTGGAAAAGCCTTCTTTACTCAGGCAGGGTGTGCTGATTTGGTTCAAAGTAGGGAATGTGGGATCTGGCCTCCTGTGAGACTTTGGTGGAGACAAGAGATATTATACTGAAAGACTCCAGACTAACCCTGGAGTAACTTGGTGAAGTTATTCCCAAAATTCTCCTAAATCCATGGATCTACTCCATTAGTCAGCAAGCTGAAGACCTTACCATGTATGCTGGGTTTTGTTGCAGCACAATATCTGCAGGTGATGTAACTGTTTTGTTCTTTTCCATTTTTTCCCCACAGGGCATTATCAGGAAGGCATGGTAAGTTCATTTGATTATTGCCTCTTTTCTTGAGGCAGCCAGAGGGTACATGAGTTCTGCAGTGGGTGGTCACTTTGATCAAGTGGCAAGAAAGGAGAGGATTTCAAGTTGCCCTGGCAAATATGCACCACAGGCTGTTGTGGCAGTTAACACAAGGGGAAAAAAAAACCATTAGAATCACTCTGACCATCTTTAAAACACATTTCATTGCTTTCCAGCACATATTAATTTGCATATGCTTTGTAGTTCAGCCTCCAGAACATTACTGCAGTGGTATTGATGGTCCTGAGTTGCCAGCAATGTGAAATGGTGTCTTATCATGAACCAGCTGGTGAATGTTGACATTCCACATCCATTACCTACTTACAGTTTAAAGATGTGGAGTCATTATTCAGCAGGTCCTGTGCCTCGTTTTTCTCACTGCCAGGATTGAGGCCGGCCAATAGAAAACACTCCCCTGAGCCTTGCTTGGTGTAAGGTCTGCCTTCCACAAATGCCTTTGGATCTACTCTAGCTTTTGGGTTTTTTTCTTAAATTGAGGAATATGAATGTTTGTTGAGTCATTTGCTGTTATTTAGGTGGTTGTTGAAACACAAATTGCTCAGAAAAGGCTCTGGTGCCTTTTTATATATTTTTCTCTTTTCTTCAGAAGGTGGCTGCAGTAGCACTCTAGTCATGCTACCTTATGTTGGCTGTCCTAAATTGCCGCTGAGAATGGCCAAAAACATCTGTACAAAGGATTGTATTGCAGATGTTTAATCATAAACCTGCTTGAGATACTTAATAATGCAGTCAGTGGCCCTTGGGGAAAATCTTCCTCTGTAGATACAGTGACTAATGTAACTCATGTTCTTCTGCAGAAAATGATTTGGTTACTTGGCTGTCTCTATCTGGCTGTTCAAGATCTCATGCATAAAGATGCTGTTCTTAGCTCATCTTTGAGAAACAGGGTCTTTAGGTGACCCAAATCCTACCTGAAAATGATGTTTTTTTGTGAATAATAAAGAATAAGTTACTGGCAGCTCGCAGCAAGAGAGGAGTATGCCAACTACTTGGTACTTGGAATTCAGAGACTCTTTTGAACCATTTTGCTGACTGTGTTGTCTCAAGTGAATGTGTGTCTCAGGAAGTGTTTATTCTGCACTGGAACAACTGCTGCTCAGTATATTAATGGCCCTGAATGTTTTTCAGAAAGAGATGCATTCGACACTTTATTTGACCATGCCCCAGACAAGCTCAATGTAGTGAAAAAGGTTGGAAGGTTTTTTATTTTTGAAATACCTAATGTGTTCATGTGCATGCTTGTGTGTATCAGATGGTGTGGATGTGGTGTGTGTGGATATAATGTATGACTGGCATGCTTTGCATACATTAAATACAATTAAGCTTTATGCTTAAATACACAAAGTAATGATTATAATCTTAGTTTTTATTTAATGTTTAGCAGCGTGAACTTAACTTTGGAACATGGAACAACATATAGTTATCAAAGTTTCCATCAGGAAAGTTCTCACAAAGTGTGTGCTGAGTAGAACCCAACTGGTACATTGACTGTACTGATGCCAATGAGATACCCAGTTTACAGCTGCCAGAGGTTTGACCCTAGAGCATTTTGGCTGCTGTCAGATTTGAGTGGAGTCCAATTACCCACTTCTCCCTAGTCTGCTAAAAATTTGGGGGTTTTCTATGTTTTAACAGTGTATTTTTTATATATATATATATATATATATATATATATATATATATATATTTCTCACATTCATTTTAGTTATGTTCTTCATTCTTGTGAAAAATAAGAATGTGAAATGTGACACAATTTTTAATGTCACATTTCAATTTCAAAATTTGGAGATTGTGTTGCAGTCTCTTCACTCACGCAGATTCTCTTCTGAGTGGAGCTCATACTGCTGGTGTTGAGCTGCTGCCCTGCTGAATAGGCCTTCATTGCAGTGTTTTCATATTTCAGACTCTCATCACCTTTGTGAACAAGCATCTGAATAAATTGAATTTAGAGGTGACTGAGCTGGATACACAGGTAGGATTTTATAGCCTTTCTTAAAGGGGAGAGGTAGTTGCACTATGTTATGCACTGTGCCCTCAGCTTTATCCAGAAATTTCACTGAATTATTACTGAATGAGCTCTAAGATGTTATTTCAGCAGGAAACCCTTCATTTCTAAATATTTACAAAGAAGACCCTCACCAATCAAGCATCTAAAACAGCTTTGTACTTCCATTAGCATAAAAATTAATTACCAAATGCTACCTTCTGCGTGCTGCCAAGTGCTGCAAGGAGGACCTGCTTGTTTTGGTCAGGAAGGGATTGTGTGCACTTGGTTTGCTCCAGTGCCAGGCTGAGCAGTTGTTTCCTGCCTACCTTTGCACAAGCACATGGGATCACAAAGCCTGCATTCAGGGGGAATTCAGGATTCTCCAGAGCAAAGCTGCTCAAGTGTACAGGCAGCTGTACAGCTGGGCTGCAGGCTTGATTGCACCACAGAAATAATGTGCTGCATGCTCCTCTGTCTTGTTCTCAGCTGCTAAATTGGCTGAAAAGAAGCTAAAAGAAAAGCTTAATCCTGCTGTATTGATACCTCCCCATGTGAACAACTGTAGCAGTTATCATAAGAAAATTATGGGGTCAGGCAGGAAGGGATGGGATCTGCACTATCAAAAAACCCCAGGTGTCTTCAGGTCAGGCTTTATTTTATATCTTGGTTCATGTTATTAAGAATCTCTCCTTTATTTACACACCTACCAAGCTGATAGAGACTTTTCAAAGGTAAAATTAAGATTTAGATGGAAATCATGTGTAAAGGCTTTCAAAAGGGCATTCCCTATTTCTGCTCATTGCATCATTTACCTTGGGGGAAAATATTCAAATGTACCTAGAAACTCCTCAAGCATTTATCTGAAACAGCATTCCCTGAAATGAGAGGTTGTATTTCCATCAGCTGAAAGAAAATCACCTGCCTCAGGAAGGTGATGGATTGATAGACCCATAGACCTGATGTCACTGGGGTCGGAGTGAGAGGCCTGTGATGAAACCACAGAAACACGGAATGGTTTGGGTTAGAGGGCACCTTAAAGATCATCCAGTTCCACTCCTCCTGCAGAGACACCTCCACCGGTCCAGCTTGCTCAGAGCCCCATCCAGCCTTGGTCAGTTCCAGGGGTGAGGCATCCAGTTCCCTGGGCATATCTGTTCCAGGACTCCACTGTCAAATAAGAAATAAGAATAAGAAAAGCAGTGAACTATTTTTCAGAAAGTGTACTGAGAAATGCTTGGGTTTTTTTCACAGTTTGCAGATGGAGTGTACTTAGTCCTGCTAATGGGTCTCCTGGAAGGCTATTTTGTTCCCCTGCACAGCTTTTTCTTGACTCCTGATAGTTTTGAGCAAAAGGTAACTAGATTTCATTTTTCTGTTAAAAACAAACATATAAATATGTCTAATTGTAGAAGGATAACACAAACTTTTGTGCATAAGTTTGATGCTAATAGCTGAAGTCAAGAAAGGACCGTACTGCTAACCATTTTCAAGTATTTTAAAAAATCAGTATTAATATTTAGTTGGAATGAAACAGAAAATTATATTAATGATGGGGTGGTTAGCATGCATTAACAGATTTTGGCAGCCATTGTGTGGTGCTTTCATTATACAAGACCTACTGTTCATTAACATATATAGGATTACACACAGGCACTGATGACAGAATTGATTTTTTGTGTGTCCAAAATCCAAGAATTTAATGTTGGAAAGGTTTAAAGGGTTTTGGAAGCATGAAGGCACATATGTACAATGTGTCAATTTAAGACCAACATTACATCAGTGTCTGCAGCTATCCAGGCAATTCATCTGTCTGTTCAAGACAAGAGCACTTCAGGGGCCATCATGTTCCAGTTTTTGAACTTGTAGGAAGTGGGCTGTGCTTACTTGTGAGTAATTTTATTAAGGGTTGTGTTAGTTCATGTTAACTTTCAATTACCTTTATCTTTCTGCAACCACCATCACCCAGAAACAGCAAAACAATGGATTGTCTGGATTCCAAAGGCCAGATCTACAGAGCCCTGACTGTTTTTTCCTTTTGAATATCTGGGTCTGCAGCTTTAAATATATCTTGTCTTGACCATTTGCACTGTACAGAGTTGACAAGAGTGACTGCCTCTGTTGTATTGCCAGGTCGTCAATGTATCCTTTGCGTTTGAGCTAATGCAGGATGGTGGATTGGAAAAGCCAAAGCCAAGACCAGAAGGTAACTATTCTACCTTTTTTGTATCTCCTTAAAAATTTGTGTGGGCTCCAGATCTTACAAGGTTACAGTGTGGCTAAGTGAAGGTAAAGTTAATCCAGCAGTAAAAGGGAAGGTACATTTTGTAGTGCTCGAGGAACTCTGTATTTTAAATGCACTTTTTCAAAGGTTGTAATGCTTCCTTTTTTCATTGGCCAAACACATGCAGTAATACTCCAATATTCCCTGAAAGAAAGAGAAAACAGTTGTGATTGGTGTCACTGGCAGATGTCAGTTGCTCCAATTGCTCCATTTTCCTCCATCTCACATTTTCACGCTAAACCTTGAGTATTCCAGTAATTTATAAGATCTTCACAAACGAAGGAGATGTTGTGGAAGTAGAATTTAAAATGTTCACATACCTGCCTTTGGATGCAGGACCTAATAATGCATATTTAAATTAGTTGTAGAGCTGGGGATTGGCAGTAGAATGTGCTTCAGGGAGGATAAAGGTTTTGCTGCTGACTTTGGGAGCATTGGGATTCCACTCCTCTTTGTTCATTCACATACAGTGTTTAAATCCAGCTTTTCAGGCTGGAGACAGAGCCCTTGAGTCACCAGGGCAATGGGTATCTCCTGTAGCTCCTCCTGTGAGGAGTTACCACTTCTTACCATGCAGGAGCCGGGTGTGCAGCTTCTCCTCCCCTCTTCCCACCAGGAATGGTATCTGGGCTCCTGCTGGTTACCTGCCACAAAAATCAACATAGCTGTGTCCTTTCAGGACCAATTTCAGGCTTACATTCCATGGTGCTCGCAGCCTTTTCCTGCCACAATATTGGGTTGTCATTCCCTGAGGAGCTGACATAAGCTCATGTCAGAGTGCTGCTTCTAACAGTCAGAACTCTGGGGACATTCAGGCACTGCTTGCTGAATCAGGTTCTGCTCCATTCAGGGCTTTTTCCATCCCTCCCAACTTCCAGGTTATAACAGCCACAGAGACACACACACACACACACACACACACACACACACACACACACAAAATAATGCATCTCAGGATCGAGCCTGTGCAGTAAATCTGCACCTACCCAGCCTGTTTCTTTTTACTTCTTTTGACTGGTTGAACTCTTATCCACAGTCATGCTTAGCTGTACCACTGGTGAGTGTATCACAAGCCTTTATGTCTGAAAGAGTCAAAGTGAGAATGAGGAAACAGTGAAATCGAGGGATCCAAGTAAAACACAGAGTATCTGTGATCCCTTACTCCCCATGGATGGTTTAAAATTCTTATGGCATTTAATTTTTCAGGTATTTATTGCTCTAGGGGACAGCTAATTTTTCCAGTATAAATCAAGCCATAAGGATATTTCAGCATATATAAGACATTTCTTGTGCAATTATTGAAATGCTTAATATGAAACTTCCTGCCCAAAGTGAATGGAAAAACACATCTGTTTTATGTGTTGTTACACTGGGCACAATGCCCATACTTAAAATTTCCAGTGAGCAAAAGAGTATTGAAAAGGATCTTACCCTAAATGTGTACACTAAATACTCTTTGAATTCCTACACTGTTTCTTTGAGGTCCTTGAGGAAAAAATATGCTGAAAAGTGCTTTAGAATATGAAAAACATATTTAGTGGGGAAAAAAAAGAATGCAGTTAAATAAATGAGTATGAAAACCAATGATTTTTATGGGGTCAACAGTTTATTTGGGTTATTTGCAATATAATCGAAAAGGTCTTAAAAAGCTTTCTGTGACCTTTTACTTTAAAAATGGCTGGAACATTGATTTGCTGAATCTATAATGAATTCATTTGCAGTTTGAGCTTTTTCAGAGCTCCTTGCAATGTGTACATCAAAGCCAAACTCAAGTTTCTCTTTTAGGAACTTGCAACCAGTAAAATGTTACATGTGTTGGTGAAACCTGTGTAGCAATGGAAATAACCCATCTTTCTCTGGGAGTGTGCTTCTTTTACTTTGAGCCCTTCTGTGGGATTTTATTGTGGTGGTGGTATCTTTTTTGTGGTGGTGTCTTTGCAAAGACCTAACAAAGCTACTTAATACTACAAGTTCTGTATTTGGGAAAAAAAGTAATTCTGCACCTTGCTGCTGGCCTGAAAGAGGAAACTTCCAGTGTTGCATGCAAACAGAATTACAGATTGCAGTGGGATCTTGTGGGGGCAATGCGCCCTTCCTGCAGCTTTTGGCATTTCCTCTTCATTTTATACCAAGCATTTTTCATCTGATTTATAAAGAGCCACAAACCAATGCTGGCTCTGGTTATATGACCAAGGCCCAGAATAAAATCTAGCCTTGAGTGTTTCCACCCTTTGTCCATGGATTTAAATTCAATGTCTTTAGCTGGCACACTTTAGGACACCAGGCATAGGTTTGATTGCATTAATTATTTAAAGTGTGACCCTTCACAATCTGTGAGAAACATCAGAGTTGATAAATATCATGGCTAAACTCTGGTGACTACAATACACCATTTACTGGGCTCACTTGGAGGTTTTGGCCAATTCCAAGAACTACAGTTAGGAATTTGAGTTCCTATGAATTCAGCAGAAAGAGATAGGACAATTGTGATTCCACTCTGCTCTTTCTGGGGCAATTCTGAATCCCTGTTTGACTAAAGCACTGGTGTAGACTGCTGCAGTAGTACTTGTCAGTTTGTTTTATAGATTTCTTGTGAAATAATATTGACTTTCTCAAGAACTGCTCTTTGAAACAGAAGGTATTCATTAGCTTTTTGTTTCATATAAATCCTTTACTTTAGATGTTGAGTTTCTGAGGACTGATTCAGCCATGAATGTCAGCTAACTCAAAGAATGTTCAGATGTTTGTTCAAGGAGCACTTGTATACCTAGCTTCTTTAGATCCTCTGGAAAATTTAAACTTGCCTCCAGCTATCCTGCTGCAATTGGGCCTAGTGAAGGATGTTGCAGTCCAGAGTGTGCCAAGTCCTACAATTCTTACATAAGAGGAAGCTTCCATTGGTTACTGCCTGATGACTTTTTTTCAAAATCATTACTTTCCAGCCACAACTGTCTGAAGATGAAGTCATACAAGTATGTGTAATCCTGGGCACACTTTGACTCAGGAGCATCTGAGCTTGGCTACATTTCATCAGCAGCAGCAAGAGCTATTTGTGTCCCTAACTAGAAGTGGTTAAAACACCAACTTTTGAGTTGCCAGTTTGAAAATTGTGTTTTATTGATATTTCTACTCTTTTTTTGCTATCCTTGTGATCTAATGTTCATGGTTATTAATGTGAGCAAAGGGGAGGAGTAGAGAATGGGCACTTTTTTTCTGGAAAACATTTGGAGCGACTGAAGTTACTAATTTGTCTTCCCTTGTCTTTTTTCTAGATATTGTAAATTGTGACTTGAAGTCTACACTGAGAGTACTGTACAATCTGTTTTCCAAATACAGGAATGTGGAGTGAAGAATTGATTTGAGTCACAAAGGAGTATTGACAAAGAAAACATCATAACTAGCCTATCTTCCATCAGTATTCCTCTGCATCTCTATCCTAAAAGGAACAAAACCATTTAGCTGAAGAATTTTTGGTTATTAGTTGATTATTCTGGCACTACTACTTTCACAGTAGATTTAAAACTAATGTAACTTATACAGAAAAAAGGGTTTGGGGGAAGGTATCTGGGTATTTTCTGGGAGAATTCATGTCTTCATTCTGGGATAATTCAGTCTTGTCTGGGAGACATTCTTGTCTTCACACTGTTTTTAATAGGTGAAGAAACAATGAAAAAAAATTAGTAAGTTTGATTCAAATCAGCCTTTGGAGCCAATCATAGGAATATTCTGTACTGAGTACTTAATTATTTTTTTACATATATCTTTTTTTAATCTGGGAAGGGGAAGAATATTTTCTATCCATGATAAGACAGTTCCATTCTAATTGTGAGGAATGTACATGGGCAGAAACAGTTAAATACACTTGTTCACATGACAGCTAAGAAGAAGAAACTTAACCTGCTGACTATATAGTTCCAGTGCTATTATTAGGCTTTAATTTTATGGGTACAAACTGAAGTGGCTACTCATTCCTTCAGACTTACTATGATGTGATACTCTGCTTCAATATGTGCTATTGAGCATTCCACAGAACCACACTTTGCAGCTTGTCACTTGTTTTTGTTCAAGGAAGAGATCTTTTTTGCAAAGAACACTTTTCAGGAAGACACACCTGTATAATACAGCTTTCCTATAATATTTGTATTATTACATCATTTAAAAAGTAGAAGAATGGCTTGTTTTTATTTTGGCAGTTTAATCACAGGATTATCAGATTGCAAGTTTAGATTCATTACTAAATAGAACTTAGAATTGTCCCTTTGATTGATTTTATGATGAATGTATGTTCGTCATAATGAACTGCATAATGTTCAACATGAAGAAATAAGATTAATTTTCTAGAAATGGTCAAAACTACTTCCATCTGCAAAGATTCCATTAGAGTGTAAAGTTCTTTGTTGATTTTACATGGCTACAAAGATTGTTTTTTAATTTAATTACCACAATTGAGCTGTTATTTGTTTGGTTTTACCTTTAACAAAGACACAAAAGGGAAATGGGAGTTGATTCTTCCCTTAGACTGGTACCAAGCTCCAGTTGTGCTTCCAGAGGAAGCTGCTGGAGGCTGCCTGCATCACTTCTGAAACAAAGCGCTTTCTTGGGGTCCTGCTTTACACAGTCAGGAAAAAAATTCCTCAGGCTGAAATTCCTTGATAACTCTTCAGAAATCTTGGGAGTGCTTAGTGCAGGAAGGAGAGTTGTTAACAGCCCTGCAGGTAGAGCAGAGAAGCGATGGGGCAGTGCTTGAATGGTCACCAGCAGAAAGGCAGAGCTGGCAGGGACACTCGCTAACAGCTGGGTGTTACTCATGATGTAAAGCATTACATCTTTCCACTTTCCAGGGCTTTTTTTCTTTTTCTTTTACATAGAGCTTTCCAGTACAACATCAGCACAGAGGGAACTCCAGCAATGATTTTCTGTCTTTGCTAAACGCCAGCTGATATTTGGTAATAAGGTGGTACTGACTTCTGCTGGGGGGCTCCAAAATTATTTTCCTGAGGAATAATATGAACTTTTTCAAGGGAAAGTCAATATTCAATTCAAAGGACAATGCCTGAGTGTTCTCTGATCTCAGAAATTATCTGATTAAGAATATCTGAGTAAGAAGCACTCTAAATATCTTCGTTAAAATATTTTCTTACCTGTGTGTTTTTAACTGAGTTTCTGAAATTAGAGGTACAGAAAACAACAGTTATTTCCCCTTTACGGGGAGAAATAGCTGGACATTTTGACATTTTGACCTCAATGAAAATGAACATTTTCGTTATAGCTTTAGCATCTGAGAAGCTAAACAATAGGAATGAACCAAACTTCTTTTGAGCAAACTGAGACAGAACTTCTCATGTATATATCAGCGGCAATTTCAGTTTATTTTAATGTTTAACATGAAAGTTTTTCATTTGCACACCTAGTAGTAATAGTAATAGCTAATTAAAAAACAAATGATGTTTTTTCTGCAGACCATGCTCAGCTGCAGCACTTTTACATTTCAGCAGTGCTGAAGGATTTGGACAGCCTTTGTTTTCAGGAGTGCACTTTCTCTAAAGAGGAGATTTATATGGGTAAAGTGAACACTGAAGCAGTTTTCTTTGCCTGGACTTGCAAATAAGTATTTCTTGTGCTATATGGGTATAACATTATTGGAGATTTATCTGTCAAGCTCCATTTCCATCCTTATAAAACATCAAACTGAGACAGAATTATTAAATCCTCATGTTGAAATGCAATTAGGCAGAACTGTAGAAGCGTTTAAACAATATCCAACCTTTCCACAATTATCTATCCCATGGTAAGAATTTATGTAAATGCAAATCTGCTATATAAACAACAGTGCCCTTGTAAATATAGATCCATGTGATAGTTTTAACAGTTACACACAAATAGTATATGCTGCCATGTAGGAGTGGGTCACTGCTTATATTTTTGACAGTGTAGATTTAAATAGCTATCAGATAAATACAAAATCCAATATAGAGATTATATCTAATATTTATTGCTTTGATTCAGAATATAAGAGAAATATAGAATACTACTGTAGACAGCTTGCTTTTCAGCAGTTGGTGTAGGCCAGCCCTTTCCTTCAGGGAAGGGCAAAGTTATCTGGGCCAAATTCTGCCACACCTACATTTCTTTTATTCTTGATACACAGCAATGCACCCTGACATACTGCTGAAAGCAGAATTCTCCTCACTGTTTATATCAAGGCAGAAGTTGTTTAAATTTTAGCCAATCCCAGGTTTATTTATAATTACTTAAAATGATCAAGTGGACCCAAATCAATTGATTGAGCTCATGTGATTCATGAGCAGCCACCTGGAGAGGCCAGTTCCTCTCCTGGTCCCAGAGGGAGCCTGTGGTCTCAAGGCTGCTGTCTCAGCACTTTGGATCCTAAAGCCAGCTGGGGTAAATCCAAGGCCCTGCCTGAGGGTCTCATGATGGTTTTGGGATCCCACCCACCAGACCAAGGTGCCTGTCTCTGTGCTGTGTCACACAAACCCCACAGGCAGCTGGGCCCACCAAAAAGTGGCCAATTCTTGGCCTGCCTTGAGTGGCAATCAAGCAGTAACCATTGCTGCTGCTGGGGCATTGTGAAACCCCCCAAAAGAACCATTTTCTGTGACTTCTGATTCACCATCCAGCAGTAGAGTACCTAGGTTTCTTCTCTGTCTGGAGATGGGCATCCTTTCCCTCTTGATGGATCCTGGCATGCTCTTTCACCCACACAGAACTTACTGTTTGGGGTTTTTTTAAAGAGGAGCTGCTGATTTTTCATAGTGTGTCAATAAGCTGTTGTCAAAATAATTACCTAAAATCCTAATATCTTGAGGTCAGCTCCTTTCAGATTTCTTTCTCAGCTGACTGGCTGTTATTTGCCATAAAGAACAAGTCCTATAAAAAGGAACCTTTGCATAATTTTACCCAAGACACACTCATAAAGCCCAGAATTGGATTGCTCTGTATTTCTGATGGAGTCCAGGCAAACCAAGTTTCCTATTAAATGTGCTGACTGCAGAATGCAGTTCTTTACATTTCCTAGTCAGGAGCAGCTCCATGTTACAGAGGGGAGCAGCCCTTGCAGCTCCATAGCTCAGGAGTTCAAGTGGACCAGCAGGAGCTGGATAAGGTCCTAATGCACTGCAGCGAATCGTGGCAGGAAATCACCAGAGCCTCTCCTACAGAGCAGTGCAGTGCTGGGGGATGGCTGCATTCAAGCAGACCATGATGATTGGGGTATTGGTTGGCTTTTGTTCTTACTTTTTATTCTGGAAGTATGGTTTGAAATTAATGTTTCAGATTATTTTAGCAGACACCTTACTGCAAGCCGCAGTGTTGTAAAGCAGAATGGCTTTTAGAAGTTTATTTCATTAGATAAAGATATATGTGATATTTAATATACTAGATGCCAGCCTTAGGTCTTGTTTTTGTTATTCTTGTCTTCCTCTCAAAACAGCCTTCATCAATGGCCAAGCATCCAAAGAGAAAACAGTGCCTTGAAGACCTCTTGCAAGATTTTTACGCTGTTACATGTATGACTTTTGTCATTTTATTGTAAGAATTAGTGTGGGCTTTCTCTTCACAGTCAAGGTACAATTACAGACTGAAGAAATCCTTTGTAGAAAGTTACAATTAGCTTGCATGAAGATATTTTACTTTGATTTGTCACATGAAAAATTGACATAGCACCACCAATTTTTTTAAATTAGGCGTACCTCAGTATCCACAGATTTTTCCAAAGAAGTTTTGAGTCATTCAACATTTACAAGGGCTAATTTTATGTATTCTGAAAATATTTTCTGTGAGATTGTTTCTGCAATAATGAGATTTTCTTTTCTGTCTAACAATTTAATACCATGCACACTGCAACAACAATAGAGTCATTGAAACATTTGGTCCTCAATTTCAATATCAAACTAACTGAGAAAAAAGGATATTTTCAAAATTTGCTAAACATGTATCTGAAAATAATTATTAGTTAAAATTAAGCTGCATTGCCTTCAACTGCAGAGTTAGTAGCTTTCACAGAATATATGTACTCTGTAAGTAAAAGACACACTCTTGCTGATTTTTTTTTCCTGTGCTTTTCCTGAAACCTTTTGTTATGATTCACAATAAAATTTGCACCTGAAAATCAACCCTGCATGTTGTTGTTGGGTCGAAGGATGAGCTGTCTGACAAAAAATTAAGGAAGCTGTGCGTTTTGTGTTCTCAAAACTTCCAGACCTCTCCATGCACCCAACCCTCTTGCAGTAACCCCTTTGTGGGTGTGCAAGGTGTTTATTATTATATTCTGTGGGGGCTGGTGACAGCTGAACGGGGGCTGGCAAAAGCAATCATGTAAACATGTGTTTGAAATGATTAACAGCAGCAGGTCAGGAAAATGCTGTCTTTGACTCAAAGTAGCCAAGAACACCTTTACTTTTAACTTTGTGGTGCTGAGCACTTCAGTGGGGATATCCCAGCTGGATATGATGCAAATCTCTGCAGAGCAATTTTGTTAATTTTGAATCTAACAAAATGTTAGCAAAACATTGAAATGATAATGTCTGTGTCAGAAAATAATTGC